GTGGCGCTCAGGTGTACGACCTGGCGCGACCCGGCGAGAGTGTGGACAGCACCCCGGGGTGCAGCGCGACGGACGGCGTTTGTTTAACGGCGGCCGGGCCCTCCTGTGGGGCCCGCGCCTCCTGCCTCGCCGACTGGGGATCCTTCAGCTGCGAGTGTCACCCGGGACACAGCGGACACAAGTGTGACACCGGTGTGTGTGTGTGCCTGTGTTTGAGTAGCGTACAATACGCGAGTGTGGATGTTGTGTGCTTTTGTCTCATATAAATGTGTTGCTTTGGCGCCCTCTAGTGGTGTCTCAGTACTGATGACCTCCAATTTGTTGAAGTGGTGGAGCTTCTTTTAGACCACAAGTGTCCTGAAGGGTCACCGTCGTGCATGTTTTCCATCTCTCCCTGTTGCAAAACACCTGATTCAAATGAATAGGATCGATGGCGTCCCTCAAGGACCGGAATTTGGCACCTATGTTTTCGACAGCCCATTGGAGAAAAGTGTTTTACGGCCAACTTGTGGCATGTAAATGCAATTATAACCCTTTTTGGAGGGGAACACCGTATGCCTCTGTTGTTTGTGTGTCTAAATGAAGTTCCCTGTATTGGTTTTGCCCCTTCAGTGGTTCCAGAGTTCTCTTTGGACTCCAACAGCGTGCTGAGATTCCATCTTCGAGCCGGGGGCAGCACCAACCGGCGCACCAGCATCCAACTGCTCCTGCGCACCCGCGCCACCTCGGGCACTTTGCTCTCCGTCATGTCCCGGGAAGCAGACGAGTACATCGTGTTGGAGGTACCGGCAAGCGTGTTTAAAATGAAAAAAATAAATGCAGGAACCGAAGCTCTAACGATGACGTTATCCTCTGAACCCAGATCGCAGAGGGTCACCTGTCGGTCCGGGCCGACCTGGGCGACGGGGCCCACGCCCTGCGGCTCTCGGGCCAGCGGGTGGACGTGGGCCAGTGGGTGCTCGTGGGACTCAGTCGTCATGACAACCTGTTCGTCCTGCGGCTGGAGCAGGGCGGCGGCTCCCGGGAGGTTCAGGGGCGGTTGGGGAGCCGGCGGGAGCTGGTGGTGGACCCGGCGAGCATCACTGTGGGGAGGGGACCCCGCGGACGAGAAGACGGTGGCTTTAAGGGTGAGACGGGGCACGGGAATGTGGTACGGGTGGATGGAAGGTGCAACATTTTTCACTCCTCCACTTTGTTGAAGATTTTTAACCATTGCTGTTGTGTATTTATTTCAAGTGTTCACGTGTGAATGCTGTCCACTGTGACAATTGAATTAATCGACGTGTCTTCTGTTTAGGTTGCATGCGGGACGTCCGTTTTAATGGGCGAACGCTACCTCTGGACGGACAGAGCGGCGGTGAGCTGGTGAGCGTGCTGGAGAGGCGCGGAGTCACGTTGGGCTGTTTCAGCGACGCCTGCCGGACGCAACCTTGCCCCGACCCGCTGCGCTGTGTGGACCTGTGGAGGAAACATCAGTGCAGGTGCGCGCACGCACTCATACACATTACGTTCAAATATATTGTCATAGGAGAATTACACTTTGTGAATTTAAAACAAACACATAGCCTAGCATTTCGTCCAATAGCTTAATGCTAATGCTAACATATAATTGGAAATATGACCCTTTAGGTAACTGATATTTGAACACAAACAATACAGCAACATTTTCAGACATGTAATATGACAATACTAGCATATGTCCTTTATCCTCTGCAAGGAGTTGAGATTTTCAATTCCCACAAAGTGATTCATCTACAAAAGTCTAGCACAGCAAGCAGCGAGAGTAACAACAGGCACGAAGGACTACTTTTGATTGCATCGTTTCTCACGGTCTCCCAGGTGCCCCGGTAGCCAGGTGACACTGACAGACGAGTCGGGCGCGGAGCGCTGCGTACCGTCGCCGTGCGGCCCCGCCTCGTGCCGCAACGGCGGCGCGTGCCAGCCGCTGTCGGCCGACAGCTTCCGGTGCCGCTGCCACGAGGGTTTTCGCGGGCAACGCTGCGAGCTGGGCCAGTATCGAGGCCACCGGCTGGCCGCCCTCAGCCCCAGCTCCATCCTGGCCATCAGCATGTGTCTGCTCGTCTTCTTTGGTCAGTTGCGTTATCAACGGATTCTTTGGAAGTCATCAAATAAATGCTTTTGTTTTTTTAATGTCATTAGAAAACTGAAAAATGGGCCACTTCAACTTTTTGGAATATGTTAGAGTCAATCAAGAAGACCTTGCGTCATTTTTTTTGGTTTTATTGTCATGTTACAAAGCGCTGCAAAATGGATGGCGGGCCGCAACTGGCCCCCGTGGCATACATTGCACACCTCAGATTATGTGTGTGTGTGTGTATGTGTGTGTGGGTGTGTGTGTGTGTGTCTACAGTTGTTTTTATTCTTGTTGTAGAGAGAGAGAGAGAGAGAGAGAGAGAGAGAGAGAGAGAGAGAGAGAGAGAGAGAGAGAGAGCTGTGGATCCAGCTACCTAGTTAGATAGCTAGCTAGCTAGCTAGATCGGTCAACATCTTTGTGTGTGCACGTGTGTAGCCGTGCTGGTAGCGGTGACCGTGTGGAACCAGAAGGGCAGCCGCAACAAGTTCCGTAAGCGCGGCGTCTACCACATCCCGACCGAGCACGAGAGCTGGGAGGACGTCCGCGAAAACATCCTCAACTATAACGAGGAAGGCGGCGGCGAGCAGGATCAGGTAACCAATCACCAGGAACCACAAACTGGTCTCCAGCCCTCCATCCAAAACCTTTGGTTCTTGTTCGCTCCTCATAATTTCTGGAAACCATAATTTTAAACACTATCTCAAATGTGATGCCCTAACTTGAAATCTTACTTTTATTTTGAAACCCTAACCCTACTTTGAACCCCTAATTTGGAACCCTAACCCTAGCGTGATGCCCTAATACTACTTTGAAACACTACTTCTAGTTTTAATCCCTAATTTGAAACCCTAACTCAAGTTAACACTTACTTGAAAGCTTACTTTGATTTTTTTTTTCTCTTTCTCCTCTCCACTTGACTAAATGCTGCTGCCGGACTGACGTGCACGTGTGTCTCCTGTTACAGAAGGGCTACGACATGACCGAGCTGAAGCGTCCTCTGCGTTCCAGCCTGTCTCAGTCGTCTTCGTGCACCACGGCTCCACTCATCAAATCGTCTCCGGGCTCACAAGAGGAGGTGCGCGCCCCCGCTGCCTCCTGCGCACCCTACCTCAGCATCCCACAGCCACACCTCCACACGCACCCCCCACCCTCATCGTCGCGCTCCCACGTGGACTTCAAGAGCTATGTGTCTCGCATCGTGTGGGAGGCGGACCAGGATGAGGACTCGTTCCCGGAGGACGTCTTCCACAGGTGGCGGGAGGAAGGATCCGGAACTCCGGCAGGGAGCCTTAGCTCGCTGGGGAACGACGACGAGGAAGAGGAAAACGAAGGGGAGAGGCCGCAGGAACGGTTGTCTCGCTGGGGTCCAAAATTCCAGACGCTGAGCGACATATACGACCGCCCTCAGGTGGCACTCTCGTACGGAACCACCGCACGACGGCCTCCCAGCCACTAGGGGGCCACCTGGCATTCTCGGCTCCTCCTCATTTTCTGGACTTGACATCGCTTTCCCCAAAAGTTAAAACTGGGAGCCTGCATTCCAAATTGGACACCTTCCGCCATCTTGGAAGAGGGCAGAGTGACGTTTTTCCAAACTTGGCGGCAACAATCATTTAATGTTTTTCCAACTGGAGCTTTTTCGGACCCTTTGCCTCCTCCTTTTTAGACACATTTACAATCTAAAGTTCCCGGAACCTTTTAGTATTAAAGTTAGTCCTGCACTAGTCATGTATTTTTGTTTCCTTTTCTCCAACTAAAATAAAGACTAAAAATGTTTAATTAGTCCTCAGATGCCTTAGCAATGTACTAGTGACTTATTTTTTTAAAATAGATTAAACAATCAATCATCTTGACCAACCTTGCTTAGCCCACCACCTATGTTCACAGGACACCCCCCCCGCCCCAAAAATATATATATTTTTTCACCTTAAAAGTCGAAAGAATACATTTTCGATGAGAACATTTTAGGGTGGGAACCTATTTTCAATCTAAAGCGAAAAAATCTTTTTCCCTGTATCTGAAGTATGTGTGCTTCTTCGTTCAATTGAAAAAAAGTCTTGAGTGTTTGTTGCTTATTTGAATTGTATGATACAATGTAAATATGGACATTTTTATAATTACCTGAAAAGAATATTTCCTTTTGTACATGAATTGTAATAAATAAAAAGAACTTTTTCCCTGAATATCATCTTTTGCTTTCTTCAAAATACCACAGCAAAAGTATGACCGTCTTTGTGGCAATTCAACCTGAAGTTGCATGAATTTTTTTTTTGGGTTTTGTGCTTGGTATTTGTTTTTCCTGAAACTAAAAGTAAGATTTTTCAGCAAAATGTTCTGATTTTCAACATCATTTCAATCAATAATAATCATAGGCACTGATTTCATTTATTTATTTAAAAGATTACATCATTCTGTATAAGAACATTCCAAAAAAAGTGGAACTAGGTACACAAACAAAAATAGATGTTTGAGCATCTCAAGGCACAAATGAGGACGTACAGTCATAAATAGCTCTCGAGATTCCTTTTTCTTTTTTTTTTTTAATTCTTTGTTTAATTCAATAAATACGGGTTTGTGGCAGCGTGCAAGCGGTGGCAACGGCTCAGATCAAGTTTCCAGGAATGAAACAGTCAGGGAAAACATAAACACAAAACAAGTGGTCGCCATGTTGACCACAGAGCTGCATGTTTCCCACCCCAGCGATGGGATGAAATGGCGTAGTCAAAGAGCACCAGGAAGTTCCACAAAAATCTCATTTTGTGTGTTTAAATTAAACTTCTTCAGTTTTTTTTTTTTTTTTTGTCAACGTCATCCTCCTCACCCGCTCAGTGATTCGCTGGTTTTTCCGTGCTGCTGGGCGGAGTCAAGACGGGCGGCACAGCAACCACTGGCGATAGCGGGCAGTCTGCAACTTCCAGAACGTGGCGCTCTTGAGCTTTTCTCTGAGGCAGAATCCAAGAACAACAAGATTTATTTTGTTTGTCATTAAATACATAATCACTAATAAATAATCCAACTTTAACCCTTGGGTATTGTTGGCTTTTCACTTTCAGCATATTTGTGGCCATTTTTGGTAAGTACAGGCAAACAGGAAGTAAATTTTTTTCAGAATTAAAAAAAAAAAAAGAATGCTCACCAGGAAGTCCAAGTAGGTGACGTGTGTCTGGATGTTGTGTCTGTCTTCGGTCTTCACCTTGGCAAAAGTCTTGAGCTCAGGTTTGGCCTCCGAACGCAGCGTGTCCATGAAGGGGTTCATCCACCGCACGCACTCGGACACGCTTTCCCACGTCAGGCCTGACGCATTGTAAACACGCAAAATCTTGTCAAGCTGACTCAGCCAATTTCTATACTCGGGTTAGCAACCCAACTGTTTGGAGGATCTCAGAAAGGTATCTGTGGCACGTACCGGACACTTTGTTGACGATGTCGAAGGTGGAGAAATGGCAGAAGGCGGCGGCGGCGAGGACGCTGTAGCTGAAGTCCAACGAGCGGATATCCATCATGCACAAATCCAGCAGCTGAGAAGACAAAAAAAAGTGGGGGTGAGGCTTCAGAACAGAACAGAAAGTGTGAGCAAACGGAAAGGCCCCCATGTTAGAAACGAACATGCCAGAAACTGTTAGCATGTTAGCAAACAGCCCTCAGCTGAGCCACTGTTAACAACTGTTAGCATTTTTAACACACAGGAATTGTGTAAGAGTTTAGCATGCCAGCAAAAAGATAGTCCTCAACGTTTGGCGTGTATAATGGGACATCTTGAAGTGTTATCATGCTACCAACAGGAAACACTGAACTCTGAGCAAGTTAGCAACCCGGGAAGTCCCCCGCTAGTAGCACGTTAGCAACTGCTAGCAACCAGGAGGTCCTCAATTTTTTTTCTTTTTATTTATTTGAAAAACAGGACAGAATGGTCCATAAGTTCCACCAAAATGGTCTTACAGATGAATTATTGATTCTTTATCAATTTACACAAGTAACCGCCTTTGATGAATTTGGGTCGAAACAAGACACAAGGGTTCTAATTTCTGAATGGTTTTGGTGTGTATTTTTGTGCAAGCAAACAGAATGTTTTTGTTTTTTTACCTGTGTGATCTGGATGTACATTTCCTGCGAGAACTGTGGCACCAGGAAGTTTTCGTCGTCCTTCTGTGCCTCCACCTGAGCGTAGAGCTTCAGCCAAGAGATGGGAGTCTCCGGACAAAGATTCCAGTCTAATGCCTACAAGAATAAAAAAATGTATCATTGTGTGTGTGTGTGTGTGTGTGTGTGTCTGTGTGTGTGTGTGTGTGCGCACGAGTAAGGAATTTTTTTTTTTTTAAACTTCAACAGGGTCTGTTGAATGTAGTTGAAAATGTGGGACGCCACCTTGAGGATGTGAAGCTCTGTGCGCCGGATGTCCCACGAGTCACACGCGCCATCCGTCACGTAGGCAAACTCGCCGATTTTGGGAGGGTAGATCTCCTGCGATAAAGAACAGTCATGTCAGACAGTTTCAAAATCAACCCTCAAAATTTCAATAGAAATATATATATATATAAATTAAATTATTTTCTGATATAAACGTCAAATAGCACGTTTTTAACGTTAATTTAATTCATTAAAGCACTTTTTTTTAATTTAGCTTCATTCCCCCATTTCAATTTAAGTTTGATAATATCCATAGATTGGGAATTTAAACTGAAAATCAAAACATTTGCTTCAATTTTAAAAAAAATAAATAAAAAATTAAAATCTTTAAAGTAAAACTATCCTCATGATAAATTTGTTATTTTAATCAGCATTTTAAAAAGATGTATCCATTAAGTTTAATTTAAATATAATTTTAAAAAAATCACATTTCTATATCCATTATTTCTTTGAAAAAAATGTATTTTGAACATTTTTTTTCAACTGTGATGATAACCATAGAAGATGAAATAACCATGATCTAATTATAGTTCATAAAATGTATTTGTACTTTAGTAAAAGTAAAAAAAAAAAAAAAAAAAGTACAGACTCAAAAATGGACTCAAGTACAGCAGTTAAATGAGTACTTTGAGCGGAGTGCAATCGAAGGAGGGTGACCTCTGACCTCAATCTTGGAGGCGATGAACAGCGCGGTGATGCCGATGAGCTGCAGGTAGTCCTTGTTGACGTCCTCCTGGGTCAGCATGAAGCGGTCGAAGAAGTCCTGTGCCAAGTAAGCCGTCTGCCGGTGGAGGCAGTACACTTCGCTCACCTAAACAATAAATGAATGAATAAACATTGGGGGAGGGGTTAATTATTTTTGTTTCTTTCGTGGAGATTTTTCTAGAAGATAGATCCAACCCTGGCGAAGGTGTGTTTATGTCTGCGTGTGCCGTTCTAACCTCCAGTAGCCAGTCCAGGAGAATGGCCCTCATGCTGGGCTGCAGTTTGTGGTGCCGCTGCATATAATTCTTGTCGTGAACGTACTTGAGCTCCTTGTTGAGCATCTTGATCCACACGTCATCCGAGCTGGCCCAACTGCGACAGCACGACAAGCGCCGCCCATACGGTCAATGCCACCGTCCTTGACACGAAACGCAAGGCGGCCATCTTAGGGTGGGATTGAAAGACGGTACCTGAGACAAGGTAGGGGCGAAGCCTTGATGAAGAGGTTCTTGAAGCGGTACTGCTTGAAGTTGGATGGGTCGGCGGGTTCCAGTTCTTTGTGCGGCGTTTCGATGAGGACGCACGGACTCGCTCCGTCCTCTGACCAACACTTCTATACCCCCCAAAAAATACATAAAAATAGTGTACGTGGTGGTTAATACACAACATGGCCGCCATGAACAGACTGGAAATATCTAAAAATGGCTGACTTGTTATGAGGCGTTAAATACACACATAAATAAAATTCTCTGTTTTATGGAAAATCTTTTTTTTTTTTGACTCGCTCCGTCCTCTGACCAACACTTCTATACCCCCCAAAAAATACATAAAAATAGTGTACGTGGTGGTTAATACACAACATGGCCGCCATGAACAGACTGGAAATATCTAAAAATGGCTGACTTGTTATGAGGCGTTAAATACACACATAAATAAAATTCTCTGTTTTATGGAAAATCTTTTTTTTTTTTGTCGGTACATTTTAAATCTTCTCTTCAATACTTAAAACTCAGCATTTCACATACAATGGAAGGTAAAACAACAAGGCGATGACAGCGACCCCTTGTGGCGACAGTCACTTTCATGACACTGCTTTTGAATACATGATGTCACCCAACCAAAACTTTAGCCTAATGGCGGAATTGCCTGTGTCATTTCTGAAAATTTTGGGAAAGAAGAAAAACAATTTTTAATTTAAAAAGTAAATCCCATTTATAATCTCGTTATTTTTTTTAATTTTTTTTTGCAAGCACATTCATTTTTTTTTTTGGTGCTGATAATTGAGAGAGCAAGCTCAAAATGACTTCAGCTATATACTAAGGTGTGCAAACGCAATTATAATAATCAAGTCATCAGCTCTCGTCGCACGATCGGTTTGCTAATAACATGAAGGGAAAAAAAAACCACACACACAAACCTGAATTTCATAGCAGCTTTGTTTCTTGGCAGTGGGTTGACTCTTCTTGGAGGGCTGACAGACAGACAACGAAAAGACAAGTCATGCAAACGGACACACCGGCATATGAACGCTTTCATTCTCTTCTAAAAGTGACATATGTAAAAAGTGACGTTTTAATAGCTTGTATAGAAATTGTTGATACAACTGCCTGCTTACCCGGTTAGCATGAAATTACAACCGAAACATTTTCCTGCCAATTTCCAAAAATGAGTCTGTGAGCGAACTTTTCCCAGTTTTGCCAGATGGTGATGCAACAGTTGAGCTAATTCACACGATACCTCGAGAGCTCGGCTGTCCAAAAGGTCAGCACAGTCGCAGTGTTAGCGCACATTAGCGTTAGCGCACATTAGTGTTAGCGGTCTCATGATGAAGTAAGTGCTGCCCCCACCAGTGAAAACAAAGTCAACTCATTACGAATGCGCCATTCATTTGCAGTCTGGACGCAGACGTCGTCTCGGAGTCACCATACCACAAATTGGCTCAGTTTGTTGCCAGAACTTGCTCCTCTACTTTTTTGAATCGTCACAAGAGTCAAGAGAAATTAAGATTTTTTTTTTTTAATTATATTCTGCCAACTTCTGAAAATATGAGCAGTTTTGGATATAATGTTATGTAAATGAGTCCAATCTACAAGATTATGACTCAAAACCAGAGCTTCTACGCCCATGACCTGAAAGCAAGACTGGGTGAAGATCCAGACACACTTTCAAGCCACGGCAGGCCCCACTGCTTAACAGTGCTTGGTGATCTGTCCGCCCACTAACTGAAAAGTGCTGCCTACAAGTGTGAAAATGATTTGGTCTTGATTGATGTTTGCGGCAAGAAATAGTAAAAACACAATTAAAAAAAAAAAAAAAAA